GGATACAAGGTAAAGACCTTATGAGCTACAGATATGGAGATGTCTTAGCTAAAGTCGTGGGTGGACCTATAAGGGTATAGCTCGCACTGAACAGACCCACAAAGAGACTCTATGAGGAAATCTTACAAAAGTATCATTAGAGCAGTCTCTTAATATTTGTGTATGTCTTTCCTTAGACCATAAGTTGTCACCTAGACTGTGTTCTGATTGTATACCTCGTCTGCCTGAAACATGTTTTGATTGTATACCTCGTCTGCCTGAAACATGGAGACTCATAGGTATACTTTTGGGCATGTCCTGAAAGAGCACAGGCCTAGGGTGATAAGCTGAAGGAATTCGTCAAATCTCTGTAAGGGATTAGGTTATCTGTAAACCGGAGAAATCAGGATGACATTTACAAGACTCGGGAATCTATGCATAGTAAAAGAGATCATCTGCCTTTAGAGTCAGTAAATTGAAGATTCCCTATTTTGAATTAAAGCTTACCCTAAACCGCAAGGGTTGATACGTAACCTCACCCTAGGTTTAATGGGAAGGTAACCGAGACGAAAGGAAATGCATACAGCAACCAAATATGTGTAATAGGATGATCAAGTCATTAATCTAACTAGTTCTGGGGCAACAAAGCATTGCTAGTGCTCTGTGTTGTCATTAAATGGGTTGTGGGCTTGTTGGGCCCGAGCCCATTTATGTCAGTGGCTATGTTGGACCTAATGGGTCACACACTAACACCTTATTGTCATGATGATCTAGCATTAAAGGTATTGGGCCTAATAATGGTTGTTAGCCCAAAAAGAAGTTTGGAAGCCCACCTAAAAGGGAAAAGGGCGCATGGATCATGTAATGGGCTTGGAAGGTCCAAGAAATTACTAATTAATTTAATTAGTTAAATTAATTATCAAATATTTAAATTTTGAATTTGAAATTTTAATTTTGAAATTTTGAATTTGAATTTTGAAATTTGAATTTTGAATTTGAATTTTGAAATTTGAAATTTGAATTTTGAAATTTGAATTTTGAATTTGAAATTTGAAATTTGAATTTTGAATTTAGAATTTAAATTTAGAATTTGAATTTAGAATTTAAATGTTTGAACGTTTGAATTTAAATGTTTGAATTTGAATTTGAATTGGCTATGAAAAGTTGTTTCATAACAAAAGGATAAGATAAGATCTTGTTGGAACAAATCCCTTGTATCAAGAGGAGATCTTTGGAGATCACCAAAGGCTGTTTGGGGCGCTGATTTGGTGTGATTATAAGTGTCATCTAGTCAACCAAATAAGATCCAATCAGATTTGGTTAGTTGAGAGAATCAGTGAGTGAGTTGGTTCAAATTTGAATGCAACTGCTCAACGTATCTGGGCCCGTTTTGGGGCTGAATGGGGCGCATAGATGGCTGGCCATATGATGGCCATTAGGTCAGAATTTTGACTAGATAAAAATCTAGTCTCATGAGGATTGAATAGTAGGTTGTTGGGAATTTTGAATTACAACAACTCCACCCTTTCTCTCCCTTTATGTGCGCCATTTGTGATCAGAATTTGGGGTAGAAAATCTGATTGCACCCTTGCTTCCTCTCATCCTTTTTGTGTGCCACTTTTGTTAGGTTTTTCCTTAAGTGTTTTTGGAATTAACCTAGCCTTTTCTAAGAGCATCCATGCCCCACTTTTGTGAAGTTTTTATGCTGAAGACTTCACTTTTTTAAACACCTTTACCTAGCCTTCTCCTTCACACATTGGACGCCTAACAAGCTTTTGTGGTGATCAATTGGTGGCTTTTCAAGAAGAGTTCTTGCATCTTGACGTGGGGTGGTGTGGATCAAAGTTAGAGGGTTTGAACCCTTCAAACTTGACACTGATCTCCTTGGTGTTTGAATCACAAACAAAGGTAACATCATGCTGTCTTAAAGCATGAATCTTGACTGCATGTGTTATTCCGCTTGAAAATTTTTGTTTTTCCCTCTCACATGCTTTGACCTTCAAGGTCATTTTTCTATCAGTATTCTCCAGAACCTCTGGGTTACTGAGATATATTCGTATATCTCACCCCGTCTTGGGGGCTTTATTTCAAGAGGTAGCAGTGGTGCAGGAGCGGCGGGCAAGAAGCCCGTAGGATGATTAGCCGGAGTATCATTAGTATTTTGCATTTTGATGGCTATTGGGCCTAGGCTAGACTTAGGGCATGAACATTGTATATGTTGTTAGGATGAGGTTTATGTCATATTTGTTCATGCTATTTTTGCCTAAGTCTAGATACATGTAGTTTATGACATTTGGAGACTTATGAATTATGTTGTAACTTGAATAATTGTAAATATTGTATTTGGATCTTGTGTAATGTGAAGCATATGTAATATGATGAAAGGGCAATAGGCCTATTTTAGAATTATGATTATGGGTATGATTAGCAAATGCATGCAATTGGACTTTGATGATTGAAACGTATTAAGTATTAATAAAGGAAGCAATGTGATACGTATTGTATAAGTAAAATAAATTGTGATGGGTTGTAAGTGCCCCAACTAAGAAAATTTTGGAGTGTGATGCATGAGTTTATGAAATTGCCATGTTGTAGGAGTGTGTGAGTTGAGTTGTGGATCATTAGTATGAAGTAATTACATGATTGTATGATGTGTAGAAGGATGGAATTGAGTTGAAAACCTTAGGAGGTACTCCCTTGAGAATTTCGAACCATAATGTGGTTGGAGGAAAAATGATGTGAAAATATGGTTTAGGCAATAGTTGATGATTTAGTGTATAATTGGTGGGTTGGAACTTGGGACTTGGGTTGAGGTAAACCTTTGGAACTTGGGTTTTAATCCCTTGTGTGCTCCACCACACCTAGTGGAAGGTTGTGGTTGGATTTTGTGCTTTTGACATTGTGTGAATATGTATGTTCATGCATTATTGCTTGATTGTGTGACATGCTTAGAGCATGTTGTGTGTGAAATTTTGTGATCTCTGGCCAGTAGATGTGTGTGATTTGGACTTCCGTTGGAGATATCCCTTGGAGATTTTGGTCGGGTTTTGCCGTGGGGCCGACTCTGGGAGCGGCACCAGGATGATCTAAACGTGGGACTTCCGTTGGATAGGGCTCATGAGGAGTTCCAGTTGGGTTTTTCCATGGGGTCGTCTCTTCCATGGGAGAGGCACCAGGAAGCTTCCCGGGAGTTATATGATGGGGTCCTTGGACGGAAGCCTTATGTGGATGTTCTTGGATTTGTGCCCAGTTGTTTGTGATTTTGTATGTTATGCATTTTACATGATGTTATTGTGGCACATTGAGTGAGCCATGGGGTGGAGTGATCCTCTAGTACCCTTGGTTTACTGAGATATACTTGTATATCTCACCCCGCGTTTGGGGACATCATTTCAGGCTATAGCGAGTATGGAGGAGCTTCGGACAAGAGGCCCGCTTAGTGGTGGAGTTAGATTATGATGTGCATATGGATGGCATGGCCTTTTGGAGGAGTTTATTTGATGCACATAGCATATTGTTTAGTATTTTGGACTTAGGTTATGAACATATTGCATGTTGATATTGCCATGCTTTTGGGTGTTCATAACTATATGCTAAGTCTTTGTAATTCATATAGAATTTATGACTTTTGATTATATTGGAGTTTTGAGTGAGCATGGGACTTGTCCATGGCCACCTATTTGTGTTTTAAGGGATTGGAAGACTTGGTTTGTAAATAGACCATTTGATGTGTAAAATGGCTATGATATTGGGAACCATTGTAATTGTCATATTGGATAAGGAATATGCATGATGGAAGGGCCTAGAGCCTACATTAGTACTTGTGTAAGATGTATGTTGAGTATTAAAGCGTTAGAAATAAAAAGCATGATCCATTTTGCAAAGGAAAAGTTGTCATCTGTGAAAATTACAATATGGTAATCGATTATTTTTCATTGGTAATCGATTACTTGAAACAGGGGACGCAAAATCGAGCCACTGTGTTCAAAGTAATCGATTACCTTGACATAGGTAATCGATTACCTAGTTCAGTAATCGATTACCTATGTCCAGGTAATCGATTACCCAAAACTGGGAGCCCAAAATTGGCTACTGTCTCATATTGGAGACTTTGGTAATCGATTACCCAAAAATGGTACTCGATTACCACTGTGTAAAATTTTGAAAATATGTTTTTTGAAATCTAAAATAAATAGTATTGCTTAGAGAGATGATGATTAGTATGTTTTATGCTTCCGCGAGTTTTGCATTTACAATTATGGCATTGTTTTAATTAGTTACGAAAATGAGTTATTGTTTAACAATGAAGATTTAATAAAGGAAAAAGTTTATCTGTAACATCCCGCTAATTTAGGAAATTATGTAAATTGTAGTTAGGAACATAAAAGCTTGCTTAGAACTCGATGTATATATATGTATATTTATTTAGGGTAGATTTATTTTAATCCATGAAATTTATGTGAATTATAATCTTGAGCAAGTAAGTACCTTGGAAAATTGAAGTACTAGCAAAGAGGATAGGATAAGTTAATTTTGAGTTTTTAGTACTTTTAATTACCTTGAACGTAAAAACATTGACTATTACCTAGTGATCACGTGGGAGGATAATTGTTGAGGCATTATTTAAATCGCAATTGGAGTGTGGGGTAATACCATGAAATTGAACTACATGTAGGTGTGGGATAGGTTTAATTTTAATTACTTCTCCTAATAAAACCCTAGAAGATACCTAGTAATTACATGAAATTTAGGAGCCATAGGAAAATAAATTAGACCCCGTTCATTAGCAATGGGCCACGGCCCAAACTTAGAGGGTGGACCCCATTCAGCCTTAAAATTTCTCTACACTATCCATTGGTTATCTTATAAGGAAATCAACATGCATGATATTTTATTGGTCCATTCTTCATGTCTCTAGTCTTATTGGCTGAAAATTTCCACCTCACCCAAATCAATCCTCTAGAGCGCTGATCAGAGGTGCATGGGTTGTGACCTTAGTTAACAATTCAGAATGCCAATTAACCAAAATTTTCCCTTCTCTCTCGGCTCATCCCATTGACAACATTACTCCATAAACCGTAAGTAAAGAGATACAAGGATCAAAACATGTCCCAAACCCCAACTGAGTCTATCTCCCTCACACCGCCGATTGAGCTCCACACTGCCCAGTTGCATGTCCATTTCATTCTCTCCACCAATGACACACTGACCGTGAGTTCATTGAGAAAGGGCAGGCTCCCAAGTCTCTTTAACTCTCTTCCCTGCTTGTCCGTGTTGCAGCAACGGTGGAAGTATTACGTTTTCTAACTCGGAGTTCACCTTCACCCCTCACGATTTGATGGAGACCTCTCTTGGTTCAAGTCAGAAAGCACCGCCTACCTCCCTTTGCTGCACAAAACCGTGAGTATTCCTAAGTGAAGAGTTCAATGTTCAAGTCACCCTTCCCTCTTCGATTTAAGGGAGATTTGCCACTGCATGCTGATTTCAACTTGAGTCAGTCTCTATTCTTTTCCTCTTGTTCGACCAAAGGTCCCCCTTAAGGAGGTGAGGTAATTGCTCCTTCCTTGTCCAACGCACCTTAGGGTCCTTCTGATTGAGTTCTCCTTTCATTTCATGCATATGTTCTGATTTTAATCTAGCTTTCTCCCCTTTCTATCTTGTCCCAAGCGCTAGTCATGGAGCATAGGAAGAGGATGGGCTGCTCCTCGGTCAATTGTGGTCTTGGGTGTCGATGCAAGTAAATGTAAGTGAACTCCCAAGATTTTTCTTTATCCCCTGCATTCGACCAGTACATGCATCCAAGGAGAATGTAAATATGTTTTTTTTTTTGTCTTCTTTATTTATGGTCCAGCCGTGTAGCCTAGGTGTAGTGCTTGCATTTAGTTACAAATTAATTGTGAAATGGGAAAAAGGGCTCTTCTCTCAATTGTTGGACTTCCTGTCAATTAACCAGAGTAATTAAGTTTTTCATGTATTGAATTAGGGGGCAGCACGTTACAAGCCTTAGTGCACCATTGGTTTTGTAAAAGAGATTAAATAATTGGACAATTGTGACTTCTAGTCACTAGCCTAAACCACTTATGTATGTGTTGGAATCTTTAGCTATGCATGTTGGTAAAATAATTTGAAGACAGAAATTGTTTAGGGTAAGGAATTGGTAAAACTGAATTAGTGTTCATGGAAGATGGATATTGCCATTTTCCTCTTCTTGATCCTACCCTACTGAACCGTTTGAGGCTTGTGACCACACGCATAGAGAGTAGTTTGTTAGCTGAAACATAGTCTCTTTTGTTTGAAATTCTGCCATGCTTGAAACATTTGGCCTTGGTGGTCTCCAACACCAAGGATTGTTGTTGGGAGCTTGGAATAAATCTCCATTGTTGAGTTTGCGGTTTGTTATATTAGGACAAGGTAACTAGTGGGGTTGGCTATTTAAATAAAATCCTGAACGTTTTTATTCTATGAAAACCGAATTGGTATATGTTGGGGACTTAGGATTTTATTATGGTAATATGTTATTAATTAATGGGAATTTCCTTTAAATAATAGATAATATGAATGAAGTTCTAACTAGTAGTACCATTGATTTAGGTGAGCATAATTATTAAAGTGTTGGACTACTTTGGCTGGACTATATTTTGTATCAAACCTTGTATAAATTAAGCTTAGTTGGACATCATGTTTTAGGTCCTCCTTAGCGCACCCCTGGTCTTTTGGAGTTAAATTTGTGAATAAAATGTCATGAACTTGTTTTAGTATTGAAACCCGAATTGGTGTGCTTGGGAAATGTTGGATTTCTTTCACTGTTATGAATAAATAAAAATTATTTGAAGACATAAATTTGGTAGTAAAAGAACCATGATAAACGAATGAGAATAAAGGGGTCTAGAGGAATGAAAATTTTATGCAACACATAGGAATAATGTGAGATAAAATTCTGATTTGTGATGCATTTGTTTAGGTCCGCGAACTTCTAAGAAAGTGGACTGAATTGGTGATACGTTGTTTAAAAAGTTGTAAACGTCACAGGTATGTGTTAGGTGGTATTACCTAATGTGACTATTAACTAGTGTATGAAGTTGTGAATTGTTGCTCACATGTGACTAATGATTATCCTGTTATTTATGATGAAAGTATTCTGCCTATGGAAATGTTATGATGGTAACTCTGTCATGAAAAGAAATGATGGCGTGGCAGTATGGCATCCAAAGTACATGAAGTATATTTTATGATGATGATGATATAAGCATGCACTTTACATCATACCGCATCTGTTTTTCTGTTTTGTGTGTGACAGCATAACATGGCATACGTGCATAAATTTCATGTTGCATTGGCTAATAATAATATCTATATAAATATGCATTCGTTTGAGAACGCATCATATAGGCATACCTCGGTACCAGGGAAGGGGACACTTGGCTTCAGTCCGCATAGGTCCACAGTTGGAATTCACCTTTATGGGAGCCATTATGGAATATCCACTGTGATGGTGCGCGCACGACGGTGCTAAGAGCGCAATGAAGGCGTTATATACGCATTATGATGAATATGGCGTTATATACGCACTATGAAATGTTAGTACGCGCACGAAGGTGCTATGAGCGTAATGATGGCGTTATATACGCACAATGATATGTTAACGGAAAATGAAATGTTGATGTGACTGTTTATAATTTTGTGCTTAGTTTAATATTGTTGCATTACTGGTTCTGTTGCCACACTACTGGGATTTTTCTCACCCCTTCGGGGCTGCTATTTTTACAAAATGGCAGGAGGACGGAAGAGCATTGGAAGACATGATTATATGGATATTTGTTGTTATGTGCTGCTGTATGGACTATTACTATTGCTGTTATTTGATGAATGACTGTATTAAATTGAGTAGTGTGGATTACTGTTGAATTATGATTTTATTATTGTTTTTAAGACTTTTGTGATCAGCAAGTATTTTGAAAACAAATTCCTGAAACGCTTTGCGAAAAAAATTTCTGAGGTTTGAATGCTGATTTTCTAAACAGATTTAACCAGCACTTTACGAGTTATATTTAGTGGGGCTACAGACCTCCGATTCGCTTATATTTTATATGCACGCGAAGCCCCACGTGTCTATTTTCAAATTATGTAAACGTTACAAGGGAATTTTGAAAACTGGATTTTATACGGATTTTGCAAGACAGCAACGTCTGCCAGGAAAAATAATAATTTCAGTAAGTTAAGAATTTTGAAAGTACTCTGATTTTTGTAAGTAAACCGATTTCAACTATGTGTTTTAATTAGGAACGTCAAAATGATTTTTCAGTACATAAAATTGTGAAGAACGAACTCTAATTCTGCTTAGCAAACAACTCTCTTGGATGCATACAAGGGAGGGTGTTACATTATCCGTAATTTAATTAACTCAATTACTGTGATTGTAATTGCGCTTAATACCATATGCAATGATAACATTACCGGTACGTAATGGGCTGTTACACTCGTCGTCCGAGAAAGCACCTAAAATATGTCCCCATAATGCGGGGTGAGATTTAAAATTCCAGTAAACTCTAAGTTTATAGAATAATCTCCCATTCTAAAGCTCACTTCCTGTATAATTGGTCAGCACACACAGAACAATAGAAACATATAGATTACGCATACAATTTTCAGACAAGACATACAGCACTAATAACACATATTTTATTACACTTATTTATTACTTTTGGTTGGTATTTTTAGGATTTATTTGAATTAAACAAAGGTCTTTTGGGTCAAATCAGAATTCTAGATTTTGATTGGGTTTAATTGATTCTCGTCAGAATTTTTCAAATTTACATTACTTTTGTATTTTTTCCATATCTCACTCTATAGATGTCCGATTAACTCCGTTCTTGTTGCGTTTTGCAGCTAACTGAAAGGGCTACAATCGTTATATCAGCTACTGAAGCCCAATTCAGATGGGAAGATGGTCTAAACCCGAGCCCAAGATGACGTGTTTTTGCTGGAATTTTATTTTGACGTTTGGACTTATAAATTAAATTAGGACCCAATGTGTTTAGGGCCCAAGGCCATGTTTTAATGTTTTATTTTATTTTATTCAGTTTTTATTTTATGTATGGGCCGAAGATGTGAAACCCTAACCGTTTTGAATGATGGATATTTAAGGAAAACTTTAGGAAACCCTTCGGCAGTCAGATTTTTGGGAGTTTGACGATTGACAAATTTTCTCTGAAATTTCAATTGAATTTTGTCCTTTTTCTTCATCTTCTGTTCTTATTGTTTTTAATTTTTAATTATGTTTTCCTTAGCCATGCGAGGCTAAGAACCCTTTAAATAACCTAAGGGTAGCGGATTCCATGCATTAGTTTTGAGGATCTGCGTTTTGTTTTAAATCAAATTCATTTCCCTTCCAAACTCAGATTGATATCGTGTGATTGTGGATATTCAATCTGAGATTCGCGATTGCGATCATGGAAAGGGATTAATCAGCAGATTTGATGATTAGAGTGATTGACCCTATGACCTTAAGTCAAACGGGCTAATACTCTATGATTGTATGAGTAGAAGCCATGTATTTGATCAAACGCTAAGCAATCTCTTAGAGAGGGTTCTCAATTGAAAATAATGATTCTGATTCAATTGACATCAATCACGATTCTGATATCTTTTTATCCGAGGAAAGACGTCCTAGGAATCATAGCCTTAGGTTGGTTATTTTAAATTACAATTTCAAATTCATCTTTTTATATTATGATTTTATTTAAATTTTAAATCAACAAAATCCCCCTTCCCTTTTATATTTGATTTTATAGAACGTTTCTGATTTTAAGAAGGTTCTTTGGCAGACGATCTGATTGCCCTTTCATTACAAAATCAAGCTCGATAATTTGCGTGGGTTCGACAGCACACATCAAGCACACAACATACAAATTTCAATACCGTCAAATCTAGTTATATTACACCCTAAGGTTAATTACATGCAATCATTATAGTTTGGCAAGCAACTTAACATATTTAAATTACTTAACATAACAGTAAATAATAAATATGTATACACACAACCACTTTCAAACAACTCTGTTTAACTTAGTAAACCATTCACTATTTACCAATAACCTTACAAATTTACCATATAATTAAATGCTACAGTTATTATGGAAGTTTCCACCTTTTTCCCGTTAGCCTAATACTCCCGGAGTAATATCTCCAAGTATCATAGCATTCCCAGACATACTCATATTACTTTATTATATTCTTTTTTCAAAAACCAATACTGACAATTTCATTAATTATCAAACTATCAAAAAAATTTACAAACACAATAAAAATCAACATATAACAATAAAACACACCATCACACAAAACTATTCATCAATTAAACAAATACATTAAATATTACAAAACATACATATTCAATCTACACATTACAATGCATCACAGAAATAGAAGATAAACCTACACCTACACCTACACTCACATATATACTTATCTTTACATCACAAATAGCTGGAACCACCCAATGACTGAAATTATTCACGGTAATAACTAATCACATTCCACCAGAGTCGTCCATTAATCGAATGCACTCAACTTGTACGACTATTTTATTCATTGGCCTCGTACTAGAATTCACTCATATCATATATATATATAAATACATATATATATATATATATATATATATATATATATATATATCACCTTATTGAATTATGTACTTTCAATTCATCACACTTACAAAGCATCCCTTTTTCTAAGGATTACCTGTACAAAATATCACAGATATTTAGTATTCATTACTTTTTTCGCTATAAGATACAACCGATTCACCATCGAATTTATCAGAACATCAAAGTATCTGAACCTCACACATTAACTTTACCAGAATATAAACTCACCAGAATTTTAGACTCAACAGTACACCCCAGAATTGTTAGGCATACCAGTCATTTCACAGATCATCATACACGTCAGTCATTTCACATATTAATAGATACATCAATCATTTCACATATTAACACACACGTCAATCATTTCACATATTATCAGATACGTCAATCATTTCACATATCAACAAACACGTCAATCATTCCACATATTAACAGACACATCAATTATTTCACAAATTAAAAGACACATCAACGTTAAACTCTTTATTTAAATTATATATATATATATATATATATATATATATATATGGGTTCGCTTTTTCTACAGTCAATGTAGATAACTTATCTACTGTGAGCCCAAAATGACGTTGTTTTGAGGCGGAAATCAAGGTATTTTTGTAATTATAATTTATTTCAGGGTTATAATAGTCTTTTTTTATTATAATTTTTTAATTTTTAAACCCAAAACGACGTCGTTTTGGGAGTAAATGTAGATAACTTATCTACATTCACTTTAGAAACATTAAATCTTATATATATCTATATATATATATCAGCATACCTCACGCAACATGTAAGAACTCGCAGCGTTAATTAAGGAATTTAATTAGTTAATTATGAGATTAATGAGTTAATTCCGTAATTGACCCTAATAATTATGAGAAGACTTAGATAATTATGGTAAGTAATTAATAGTGTTGAAAATCGCTTTTTCGACGAAAAGTGCAGATACCGGTTCTGCTCCACAGTATAAATGCGTACCGATGAAGTATCCCGGAAAATTATAATAAGTGTAGGTATATTCCTAAAATAATATATAGGAATAGCCTAACAAGTTTCAGGTCAAAATAATGAGAACTGGTGCCAGAACTGATAATGGCTATGTAAAAGCGCGTATCGGAAAGGTGCTGCGAAAAATAAAATAAAAATATGACAATTCCTAGAAAATGGCTAGGTTCAGAATCTCAAGTTTGAGATTAAAACGATAAGCGTAGCTATTAGTGCTAATACAGTGTGATTAAGTTTAATGTGACTATAAATAAGAAGTGGCACAAAGACCTAGGTTAATTCCTTTGTCTCCTACGTGAGTGGCTGGTTAGCAGCTGGTGTCTCCCTTCTTCTTCACTGTTTCATTTCCTTTTCTTCACAAAATCTCTCAAGTTACCACTTTTATGAGAGATTATTCACCTCTAACCTTGTAAACCCTTGGTAATTAGTGTTATGAAGGAGTGTGCTGGTTCATTGTGAGTTGTAGCTTCTGAGTTGTGTTGTTTGGGGCCTGAGTTCATGAACTACCATGGCCGAGACCATGTTCATGTCTTTTGTGGCGTCAAGAAGTGATATTTTGACTTAAAGGGGCAAGCTTGGTTGTCAAATTCGTGTCTTTGCAAAGTTTGTGTTGTGGTGCTGTGTAGAGGGCCCCTTGTGTGTCTCATTTTCGGAGTTTTGAGCACGTGAGGTATACCATGATCACCTCTTTGTCATTTTCAAGATTTAAGCTTGTTTAATCCATTAAAAAGTGAAACTTGGACCATTTGAGTTAAGGACTGTGTTTCTGAGTTCCTAACATGTTAATGGATATCTGTTTAGGGAGTCATTGGACTCCCAATCGCATTTGAACACTTAAATTTGGAGTTATGCAGTGAACAGCTCGAGTTTTTGCATTCTGTCTGATATGTATTCGAATACTTTTCGGATAGTATTCGAATACTTATCCCTTGGTAGTCGAATACTCCTTGCAGGAGTATTGGGATATTTTCTGGGAAGAAAAGTATTCGGATACCTTTGAGTAAGTATTCGAATACTGTGTAGCATTCGAATACTGGGGTATTTGTATTCGGATACCTGGTGGTATTCGGATACTGGGAGAAAAGTATTCGGATACCTTGTGGTATTCGAATACTTAAGTGAAAGTATTCTGATACTTTCTGGAGGCAAGGTGTATTCGAATACTCATCGAGAAGTATTCGAATACCTCCTGCAGAAACATCATGAAATGACTTATAATGAGTTAGAAAGCCTTAATCACTTAATGGAATCCTGAGCAATGATTATTGATGATTAATTACTGTATAAACAGATTATGATTATGCTGTTTGTGGGCATTGAGCTAGTGTGAGCTTGATTGGATACTTAGCTTGCGAGGTAAGCTTTCGTGTCCTCGATTTAGCCATTGTTGGTTCCACCATACCGCATGGGGGAATGGTTTTATGCATGATGTGTTTTCATGTTTGATGGTTGAAATGATTATGAACTGTTAAGTGCAAGGGCCTTATAACATGCATGTGTTGTTCCATCTAGACGGTAAGCCTGAGTATGTGGCGTCATACAATATGGTGATTTTGTGGGTGTGGGTGCAAGTGGCATCTTGCACTGATGTGGGTAATAGACGTATATAAATCCTGCATTTCTCTGGCCAGTAGAATAGTATTGACACACATGACATGATTATCTGCTGCATTGCACTGATTTTGGAACTTATATTGTTAAACTGTGATGTGCCTCTGGCATGTGATGTTTTCCAAGCCAAAAAGAAGAAGATTATTGGCTAATCCTGAGTAAAAAGGCAACGTTTATTGTTGTTTTGCTGAAATTCTAAATCCAGGATTGTTCAACTGATTTTATGCTGATTTTGTAGGAAAGCATAAAAATTGGAGTCAAATGGAGACGTGCAAAAATGAAGATCCACGCTCATAATGTGGATTTCACGCTGATGGCGTGAAGAACCAGAAACTCCCACGCTTATAGCGTGGAGTTCACGCTGATGGCGTGATGATTCAGAGGCAACCACACTCTTGGCGTGGATCTGACGCTGAGAGCGCCAGATTGCGAAATCACAGACCGTGCTTCTTAAAGGGTAATTTTGGAAGATGAAAAAGAAGATTATAAAAAGGAGGCTCAACACAGAATTAGGTATTCTGGACCTAAGGAGACCGTCGTGCGTCAGATAGAGAGCTCCGGAGAGAAATTCTTGTTCTTGTTGTTCTTCTTCTTTTTCTTTTACTTTATGTTTTTATGAATATTGGATTTTTAGCCATGATTATGTTTGGCTAGTTTACTTTTTATTGTAGTTAGGGTCACAAACCCTATGTGAACCCTTGTTACGACGGATTGATTTATAATTGCTCGTTTATATAATTATCTTTATCTTTACCCTGTTCGTATTTGATATTTTCTTTATTAGAATTGATCACTCTAATAGTTGATAATAGTCTGAGGGTTAGAACCCTAGATAGGAATATTGAGGTTTTCATCCTGAAAGGGGTAGAATAACGGTTCGTATGCATGCTAGGAATAGATGTGTATTGAATTGCGGATGCCTAAATTATAGAGTTCATCTGTAACATCCCACAAATTTAGGAAATTACATAAATGTTGCTTAGGGACTTAGAAGCTTGTTTTGAATTCGAAATGTATATAGGTATATATCTATTTAGGGTGGACTTAATTTTATTCATGAAAATTTGGTTAATTATAATTTTAAGGGGATAAGTGTTAGGAAATTGAAATATTAAATAGTAGGATGGGATTAATTTAATTACAATACATATGGAAACTTTAGTGACTACTTAGTAGATACAAGAAATGATAACTACTAGGAAAGTATTTAAATTGTTACTTGGAATGAGAAATCTTGTCTTGAGGGCGAGTTTCATATGAGGTTAGGGTGGAATAAATTTAATTTAGGGATTAAATTAAATTATGGAACCAATTCATATTTCAATGGAAAGTAAATATGTAATTTTAAATATGAGACATCTTAGTCATGAGTGTATATTTAATTTTATTGAAACATAGAAGGTGAGCTTATTATAAGAATTATTGGAAGTAATTATTATTAATGTATGTAATTAATTTTACTGTAGCAAATAATAAACCCTAAGATACTATATTAGAGTACATAATATAATAGGGCTTAAGTGATATTGAGTAGGATGGGATCAATTTTAAGTACCACCTTCAATGAAATCCTTGTAAATACTTGATAAATTACTTGAAGCAAGATAACTTAGTTGTTTAGGGCCCAACTAGCCAAGATGGGCGATGGCCCAAGCCTTGGAGAAACAAGTCAGCCCATCTTTATTAAACATTATCCCTAAAATTTCTCCGGTGAAATCTGCCTGCATGAAAAACGATTGGTCAATAACAATCTCACCAACTAGCGCCTAATGAGGGGAAAAGGAAATCCTATCAATTGCTTTACTTGTACTTTGTATCCTGGATCAGAAATTAGGACCAACTTCTTCACACTCTATGCGCTGACTAGTAGAGAAATAGGCTGACTCTTATCTTTAGCTGTGAATGAAACTCAACCACCTTGTCCCTTCACTTGTGCGCCCAGCTTTGAGGAAGACCCAAACCAGTTTGCTGCCATTCTTGATACAGAAACCGATTGAAGCCTCACTCTCCTCCCAAACGTTGAAAGGCTGACTAAAGGTGGAGCGTCTGCTACTCCATTCTCATTGACAAAAAAAAAATCAGCCCAAGTTCCCTCCTCAAAGTCGTGAACCACCAAGGGGGGATGATCAGGAAAGTTGAATGTCCTCTCTTTTCTTGCTTTCTCAAAACCGTGGGTTGTAGGATGAGAGAATCACCGCCTAAGCTCCCTCTCTTTATTTTCTTCATTGACTCAACTTAGTGCAGCAACGGTAGAGGTAGTGCATCTCTTCTTCTTCCATGTGTGACCGCAGACATACACCCTTAAAGGTTAAGTTTTTTTTTCTTCTTCTCATGGTCCAACACCACTTCAAATCGGTTCTGATTGGCCCCTGTTACCTTGCATGCAGATTCTGATTTGAGATCATTACCTATTCCTCTTTCCCTTGTGCGCACGTTCAACCGAGTAGGAGAAGGTGAGATAGTTTGGAGTATCCTTGTTCCTCCCACGCAGACCAGTTCTGATTGGGATCCTTTTCTCTTGAGTGCAGTCTAAATCCGCCACTATGAAGAGTAGAGAGGTGGAAGAAATCGCATACCAATTGGCCACCGCCTCCCTTGGACGATTTGAACCTTGGGCACCTTCAAGTAGATGTAAGTACTTTATTAAACCCTTCTTTGTATTCTGTTCGTTCGGCCACATGCATCTTAGGAGGATACCTCATCCTAGCTATTCTTCCCTTAAAAATTCTGTTCTGTTGAGCAACGTTAGGACTTGATGCTTCTATGCTTAAGAAAACTGAATTTTTGAACTTAAGCTTTAACTCCTCCAATATTGTTTGGGCAGCCCTGAATTGGAAGATTTAATTAACTTGGTACGATTTGAGAATGCATGAATAGTTAATTAAGACCTTGTTCTTTCACACCTAGGATTTGTTTTTGGGAGCTTGGAATAAATCCCCATTGTTGAGTGTTGCGGTTTGTTAAATTAGGACAAGGTGACTAGTGGTTGGATTATGTAACTGTATCAAATTTTTAGAGTTTAAATTAATTTGGCAGCATGTTATATTCTTCCTATAGCGCACCATTAGACCTTGTAAAGGGTGACTTAGGTGACATTAAATGTGTAGTATGATGAGGATTGAATATTATGCTAAATTAGGTGCTGTATAGATGAATTTTAATGGAAGGTAATCTGATTTCACTGAGTCTATGTTCCTAAGTTTTTATTTTTAAAGAAGCACACCTTAAACCGTATAGGACTTGGTGAATGTAAGTTCTGTTAATTGATATGTGAGCTTGTGTGGTGGTGCATGATAAAATTTGGAACTGCCTTGAGTAGCAAAATAAAATAATATAGAACTTTAGATGTGAGTCATAAAACCGAATTGGAACATGTTGGGGGACTTAAGATTTTATTATGATAATATATTATTAATTGATGAGAAGGCAGAAATTGACGATGCACATGAAGCATGGGAAATCGTACGAAATCCAAGAATAAAGAAACGTGTGAATTTCTTATAAATAATAGGAATGTATGAATAAAAATTCTGACTTGTCCCGCATGTATTTAGGTGCACGTAATTCTTATTGAGTGGGCTGAATTTTGGTGCTGTTGATTTTGCGTGGATATGAGGTATGTGTTAGGCGGTATTACCTGATGTGACTATTGACTAGTGTATGAATTGTGAATTGTTGCTCACATGTGCCTTATGATTATTCTGCCATAAATGATGAAATTATTCTGCCTATGGAAATGTTATGATTATGGAAATTCTGTTATGAAAAGAAAGAATGGCTTGGCAGTATGGCATCCAATGTACATGAAGTGTATGTTATGAAATGATGATATATGCATGCACCGTACATCATACCGCACTTGTCTTTCTGTTTGTGTGTGACAGCATAGCATGACATACATGTACCAAATTCATGTTAGGCTTGAGTCTTAGAATAGTTATCTATAGGATCATGTGATTGAGCACGCATCATATAGGCATCCCTCGATACCAGGGTATGGGACACTTGGCATCCGTCCGCATAGGTCACAGTGGGATTCAATAAATGAGGGTGCCGTTGCATGGAATTCCCGCTGTGTATGCACGCGCACGACGGTGCTATGAGCGTGATGAAGGCGTTATATACGCAATATGATATATGATGAAAAGGATATATGATGAAAAGGTTATATGATGAAAAGGATTTCATGTTTGAAGCGATTGTTTATAATTTTATGCCTAGTTTAATACTGTTGCATTATTGGTTTTGTTGCCACACTACTGGAATTTCTCTCACCCCTTTTGGGGCTGCTATTTTTACAAAATGGCAGGAGGACATAAAAGCTTTTGAGGACTTGGATATTTGCTGTTGGCTTCTACTGTTTTGGGCATGCTGCTATTGATGTGATATTTTATGGATGACTGTATGAAATTGAGAAGCTTTTATTACTGTGAACTATGATTTTATTATTGCATTACGATTTTATGACCAGCAAGTATTATGGAAACAGATGTTGAAACGTTTGCGAAAAGGATTTTGACATGTTATCTAAATGCAGAGTTTTGAAAAGTCTTTGTGAGCACTTTGTAAGTTGTCGTACTGGGGCTACGGACCTCTGATTTTCTTATAATTTATATGCACGCGTAGCCCCAGGTGTCTAGTTTCATTATATATAAACCTTGTAAAGAAATTATGAAAGATCGATTTATTATGAATTTTACCAGCCAGGACGTTTGTGATATTTTCACTGTTTTATCTCTTATTTTGCGAGTTATGTTTCGAGGGGCAAACGAACTCCAAATCACTATTATTTTATATGAACGTGAAGCCCCAGATGTCTAGTTTCCAGATTACAAAGAATATTTTTTTGAATCGTTGAACTGGATTTTATACGAATTTTTAAAGACAGCAAGGTCTATCAGGAAATTTATATTTTTAGTAAGTTTAAGAAATTTTGCGTACTCTGATTTTTGTAATTAAGCAGATCCCCTCTTTAGTTTTAATTGGCATTGTAAAAGCGATTTTTTTTTCAGTCTCTAAAACACTATTAAAGAACTCTAATTCCGCTTAGCAAACAACTCTCTTGGAGGCCTACAAGAGAGGGTGTTACACTAATTGGTATCAGAGCAGTTTTGATTCAAGGTGTCTGTTTTAATGAATTGTTTGCTGTTTGTACTTGGTTGTTGAATGATTGTTGCTTGAATATGTTGGTTGTTGGCATAGTCACTGAATTATTACTATTTGTTTACAACTGTGAATTGGTTGTCTTGCTGCGTGTTAAAAGTACACTGTTTCACTGCTGCTATTGGAATGTGATTATTGAATTGCTTGCTAGCTATTGTTGCCTGATCCCTTGTGCGTAATGGTACTTGTGGTATCCGGTATTAAACATGGTTATGCACACCTCAATGCAAGGAGGTGAGCCTGATCAACTCACTGACGCGTAGGGTGTGTGCGCACACTCATGGTTATTCCGGGATGTACTTGTATCAGAACACCATGTGAAATATTAAATTGCTGCTTGCAGTAATAGTTAATTGTCAATTCTGTTCTCCATGAAATTCCTAAGATTGTATCCCTGTCTATGCTTGAGATAATGTTCAAGGAAGTAATGTTTTGAACCGTGCAGAATTATTGCTGTTAAATAATTGCCTTAGTGAATGATGACATTTTCTTGTATGGCGTGGCTGTTTGTATAGTTGAATAGTAGAAATTGTTACTCTCCACAAATTCTGTTTCGGCGTAAGTAGTTAATATGTTCAAGAATAAAAGCAGTGACGTAATTCCAAAAATTGACGTAGGGATTGGTCATTTACCTAAGTAGTTTCGGTTAATCCTCTTAGAACGTAGAATTAGTATTAATCAAGACTTTCACATGTGGGATCATTGTCTGTGCAAATCTTCTAATGGTGAATTGACACTAGACATAATTCTTGAGAAAGAAGCTGTTAAACAAAGTGAGTGATATTTGTCATTCTAGTTCTTACGTGTTAGGTTGCCTTGTGTGATGTAACTATTTTAAACTTGCATCTGGTTATATTAAGCTTTCTTTTTTGTGACTGTTGAAGTTGTGGGTCTAGATTTTACACGTTGCAAGAATACTGCATGAACAAATAAAGAACGATTATCTGAATTAAATTTAAAAATATACTGTACTGAACATATAATTGTGCATGCTTTGAATGATCTCGTTTTACTGAGTCTTTATTTTATTTTGTTTCCTTTGGCTGATTCGTTAACTTCATCTGTGTGCTTTCAATTTTTGTCTCATTTTCGATGCCTTGTGAAACTTTCTGTTATCAAATATCAAATTATCCAACGAAATAAAACTGGAGAATCATAGAAGCCTTCCTAGAATTTAAAGTGTTATGCTGTCATGAATATTAGTTATCTCTATGGAAAAAAAAATTATTTTAAAAGGGTGCATCAAGTTTATATCATGAAAGAACCGTGCATAGCTTCTTGGTATGTGTGACTTCCCTTGAGTTGATTTTCGGATTTGTCTAATTTTATTCTACAGTCTATCCAACCCCTTGTTATCTTTGCAATGACGTGTCTATCCTAGGTCTTATTGAATTTTGACTTGACTACAGTTATAGGACTCGTATGTTGTCGAATTATAAACCTCATGTATAAAAAGGGAAGAAATTTTGCGAAATCAAGTAATTATTGATTTTTGGTAGTACCTAAAGACAAACCAACGAAAGTTGAATAAGAGAATACCTATATGTGTTACTGCTTTATTAAATTCATATTAAGAATGAAAATGTGCGTTTACAATCATGTTATTTTTTAGATCCATAACTTACCTTCATTATGACATGACTACTTGTGGGTGAATTATCATTTATTTGTAGGGTGATGTAACACTATGTCCTGATATTGTATTGTTATTGAAATTATTTCTAGGACATGCATTGAAAGGAAAATTTTTATATATTAACTGATTTGCTAGGAAGTACGCTTAACATGCCTCATAGTGGCTTTTGAATTCTGTTTCTGTACATCCCTACTACCACAATTATGTTCCACTCTAGGTTAACATTCATTAATAAGAATTTTCTTTACTTTCTGTTCACGTTTGCTGTGAATTGTTAAGTATTTGTATATGTCAATAGAGTTAGTACTCATGAAATCCTCCTGATGTGACTGCATAGTATTTGAGCATCCAATCTGTATGTTGAGCATGGATATAAAAGTAGAATTAAACTAGAGCGTCTTTACACTATTAAATTATGATTTAATATGCATGTTGTGTCGTCTTTAACCGTGATTCTACTGTGTGAACTTCTGCTTAAAAATTTGAGTTGTATTATGAGACCACCATATGCATTGTGAAGGTTTTGGGATTGGTGTTCTTTATTTTATGTTAGTACGAGGTTTTGTATCGTAGGTTTTATTTTTAAATGCTAACTTAACTACAGCTAGAAACCTTGAAAGTAAGTATTATGAACTTGAATTATGAAAACTTTGTCAGTTTTAGTGAGTTATGTTTGATAGCTATGTTGAGATTGCAATGCGTGTTAGAAGTGGAAAATTCATATCATGGTTAATTGGATTTAAGGGAAAATTTAATTTTGAAATGTCGAACCTTGAACTATGCTCATCTACTATATGTTTCTGTTGCACTGAAATTTTTCTGTTTGGAAACTGAATGTGACACTTTTCTATTAAAAGATTAATTCCGAACTAAATCATTCTTTTTATGAAACAACATGAATGACTCAATTGTTAGAAGTAGGCAGGTATGAAAATTTTCCATCCTTGACTGTGGTAATTACTAGTTGTCTAATTGTTTATTACTTGATATATGTGTTACTCGAATTAGTACCACGAAGAAATTTTCTGTTACTTGCATCAATTGTGGAAATCTAATGTGAACGTTGATTGCATGATGTGAAAATTAAAAATTTTGGTACGCGTGTTTGTTTGGGTTAGCAGTTGTTTAATAAAAAGAGAAATAAAATTCGTTGTTTAAGTTTCTGGTTTATAGGTCTGATGTTTACTTGAAATGTGTCAGTATGTCGTGGAACGTTATGATTGTCTGTAAAATATTCTCATTGCACCAATATCTTGCTGCATGTTGTATGTGAGTAGGCAGTCGTTTGAATAACTTTGAATTGTTGCTGTACATGTATAGGATTTTGTTTGTTCCTTGTACATTAATTCTACTATAACTAGGAACTTTTAACATAACTATTGAGAATGCACTCTATTAAGACTTTGTATATTTTGGTGAGTCATGTAATGGTTGTATTGAGATTTTTCTTCGTGTACCAATAATTGAAATGCTCGTATCATCGTTAATGGATGCCCTGATCAGTGAAATAAATTACTTCGTTAATGGGTGTTTTGACGAACTATATGAGAGGTACCATTAACATGATATGAGTAAATAATCGGATAGAAAATTTGTGATTTGATGAAGATCCTTTTTATTGAAATGTTGGATGTAAGGTGTGTCGTTTTGGTTATTAAATATCTTGCAAGCTTATTAATGTGAAATTTTGTTATGATCTTAATTAATAAGATCGAAGTCTGAATAGGAAGTATGTGTGAGAATATGTTATCATCGTGCTAAGTGTTAGACTTAGACAAATTTTAGGATGGTAAGGCGAAGTTTGGGGACAAACTTCA